TGAAAGGGAGAATTTTAATTGTCAGAAGCTAAATAGATAATAAGAAACCACCATAGTAGGGATAATGGGTAAACCATTATCCATTTATATTGACAATGCTTTGTTTCAGAGACCTTCATTATAACATTTCTATTTTCCTTTTTTTTTTGAGGAAGATTAGCCCAGAGCTAACTGCTGCCAATCCTCCTCTTTTTGTGCTGAGGAAGACTGGCCCTGAGCTAACATCCGTGCCCATCTTCCTCTACTTTATATGTGGGTCACCTGTCACAGCATGGCTCACCAAGCAGTGCCATGTCCGCAACCGGGATCCAAACCGGCAACCCTGGGCCACCAAAATGGAACATGCGAACTTAACTGCTGTGCCACCAGGCCAGCCCCTCTCTTTTTTTTTTTTTTTCTTTTTTTTTTTTTAAAGATTTTTTTATTTTTTCCTTTTTCTCCCCAAAGCCCCCCGGTACATAGTTGTGTATTCTTCGTTGTGGGTTCCTCTAGTTGTGGCACGTGGGACGCTGCCTCAGCGTGGTCTGACGAGCAGTGCCATGTCCGCGCCCAGGATTCGAACCGACGAAACACTGGGCCGCCTGCAGCGGAGCGCGCGAACTTAACCACTCGGCCACGGGGCCAGCCCCCCCTCTCTTTTTTTTAGTATAAACTTTTTCCTCAAATTTTTCTAGTAATTTCTTTTTAATATTGTCAATCAAAATGCCTTGCGCAAAATATTTTCCTAGCTCTTAGCAACCAAGGAGCCAAATCTGTTGACAAATCCAGAAATCAGCAATATAACAATCACAGCACGTAGGCTGCCCTGAAGAAATGGAGGCACTCCCACACTCTAAGAGACCCCTCATTCTTCACCAAGATAGAAAAAATAATCTCCTTATAAAGGGAGAAAGTGAAATTTACTTTGAGTTATTTTCTCATTTGTTTACGTATTTATTTTTATTATGAGATTTTTTCAGGAAGATTGGCCCTGAGCTAACATCTGTGCCCATCTTCCTCTATTCTATATGTGGGACACCTGCCAAAGCAGGGCTTGATAAGCCGTGTGTAGGTCCACGCCTGGGATCTGAACCAATGAACCTGGGGCTGCCGAAGCGGAGTGCACGAAACTAACCACTATGCAACCAGGCCGGCCCCTCTAATTTATTTTTAAAAGAGCTAAGTAAAATAAATTTTCAAAAAATATTAATTATGTTTTATGTTCTTTTAAGTATACCACCTCATCATGCTTTTGTATGGTGCTCCGTCAGGGTACCTCTACTATCTTCTCAAATGGCACCATTTTGCTCCTAAAGAATTTAGTAGTGTTCTACATCATTATTCAAAATATCTGTTTAGAGGAATTTAGAGGCTCCACACACTGGCTCCAACTCAGGATGCGACTAGGACTAAAATGATTTCAAGGTGGAATGAAAAAAAGTGTGAAAATTAGATATATCTCCAGAATCCCTGATAAGATGGGCAGAAACTATATGCCTCTTCGACAATACTAAATCAAAATGGGTTTGGATGGACTCAAATTTCATTTTGGAAGAAACTCACCATCGTATGAATAGGTTTGTGTTTCCAAAATAATCTGGAAAAGAGACTTACAGCTCAAACCTTTTTTCCAGAGCAAAATTTGCATACGAACTTTTGCTAATCAATTCCTTGCAGTTACTTTAGTAACAAAGACCAAAGTCCCAGTACTTTGCAAACCTTCACTAGTAGAAGGGCAAAGAGCAACTGTTCAAATCTGAAGACAATTATCGGATTCTATGCTATTAAATTAATAAATGAAGCAAGTACAGAGGCTTGGCTACAGATTTTGGGAAGGTGATTTCTAATTCTTTTTTCTCCCACTTCCTTTACTCTGAGTCAACTTAACTCATTGAGGAAACTACATAATAAAACCAGAATGATATCTAACTTCTGTTAAAATAATTAAACAAGGAGGCTGTTAGATTGAGGTGGCTTTAATGCCTTAGTAGGCTATATAAGCAAACCAAAAGCTAAGCCTGAAATACCTCAAAGTTAAGAAATCAAAACTTAAGGAAAACCAATCACAAACAGCCAACTCGGCTTTCCCAAAGAATGCATCTGCTTACGCTATGGCCACTCAAATAATTTCCTTGCTTTGTTTCCATGTCTTCTCTATAAAAGTCTTTCCTCTAGCTCCTGTCTGTGGAGGGCTTCTAACCACTTCCGGTGGGAACTGCCTGATTTGAATGGATTTTTGCTCAGATAAACTCCTAAAATTTTTAATATGCCTCAGTTTATCTTTTAACAATTCTCAGTGCAAATATCATCCAACAGAAGAAATAAAAAGGATCACTAACATTTATTTAGCACTTACCATGTTGAAGACAATCTGTCAAATGCCATGCAATTATTTTCTCATATAATCCTTCCAATAACTCCATGAGGTGACCAATGAGGACTCTCAGCCCAGGGAGCTTAAATAACTTGTGCAAATCCAGTATCAGAAGAAGGAAGAACAGGAATGTGAACCTAGGAACTCTGTCTCGAGAGCCTGCCTGTTTCCTTCTGTATGAAACTAGCAAGACACTCTTGGTTAAGTATTCTGTAGGATAAAGAGCATGCACCTCACCTCCACATGTTATTCGGTTTGGAAATCAGGGAAGCTGCAATCACCTTAGGAGATGAAACAAGCTGAGACCTTGAGAAGTCTGAAAGTGTACTAATGCAAACTCTGTTGAGTAAAGCCCTGGCAGCCCACTCTCTCTCTGGGGAGTATACGATTGGCTTCATTAACTTTGTTTTTCTTGAGGATGATTAGCCCTGAGCTAACATCTGCTGCCAATCCTCCTCTTTTTGCTGAGGAAGCCTGGCCCTGAGCTAACATCCGTGCCCATCTTCCTCTACTTTATATATGTGACGCCTACCACAGCACGGCTTGTCAAGCGGTGCCATGTCTGCACCCGGGATCTAAACTGGCGAACCCGGGCCACCAAAGCTGAATGTGTGAACTTAACCGCAGCACCACCGGGCTGGCCCCTTGGTTTCCTTAACTTTTGCTACTCATCTTGCAATTTCCACATCAGCATTTGTCCTATGGTCTTATTGCATAGCCAGAAAGGCCAGAGACCTATATGAGTTCTGATTCTTCCTTGAGAGACACCCCACTGAAACTATTATTGTAGTGCATTCCAAAAGCCCCTTCATCCAGTTTTCCCACTGGAAAAAAATCATGCTAATTGTTTGGGGTTTTTTTAAGATTGGCCCTGAGCTAACATCTGTTGCCAATCTGCCTGTTTTTGTCGCTCCCCTAAGCCCCAGTACATAGTTGTATACGCTAGCTGTAAGTCCTTCTATGTGGGATGCTGCCACAGCACAGCTTGATGAGCAGCGTGTAGGTCTGCGCCCAGGATCCAAGCTGGCCAACCCTGGGCCACCGAGGCAGAAATCGCAAACTTAAACACTATGCCACCGGGCCGGCTCCCCATGCTACTTGTTTAGAGCATAATGTCACTGGAGCTGTCCTATAACTGTAAACGTTGATCAACAATAATAACAATAGCAACAATAGTTAAGACTTTTTGTCCCAAGCCTCCTGCTGAGGGCTTCACATGTATTACCCCATTTAATCCTACAACAATCCTAGGAGGCAGGCATGATTATTACACACAAGAAAACTGAGGCTCAAAGAGGTTAAAGAACTTGCCCGAAAGTTTACCTACAAAGTTAACTAATTACCTGTTAATTGCCATTATTATTCTATCCCTTTGCATCAAAAAAGAACATGAGGCAATTAAGGACTCACTTGGTGACCCTTCCGTCTATCCGGTCATATGTCTTTCATACGATTGAACTAATTCTACCTTGCAATTTAAATGTACTATTAATATCTTTTAAGGACACTGCTTAAGTCTAAAAAATCACTCCTTTGATGTGTATATGGTTTGGAGAGGCCAAGTGGTGGAAAAAAGGAGATGAAATCTTTATGGAGTGAAGGCACTACATCAATTCCCCCATACTCAACAGACTAGAGCAATCAGCTTCTGAGCACTTTGGAATTGATGATTTAATGAAAACACACACACACACAAATTTATTGTCAGGCACGAGCTGCAACGAATAACCTCTGCTCTGAGTATGAAAATTAAATTTTGTTTTTTAATTGATTTTTCCAGGCAAGTTCAATAAAATGATCAAATGCAATTGAAATATCATATTCTTCCCTGGAGCTCTCAAGTTCCCTTCTACTGCAATCTATGTTTGAATCCTGTATGAAAACCCTTAGATGATAAATCGGCACCAGATGTGCCAAGGTGACCCTTGATATTGCACATACTCAGGGCAGAACGGAATTTCAGAGACTAGCAACAACCCTCTCCACCCTACCTTCCGAACCCATTTCCTGCCTCCACAAAAAGTTCAGTATTTTATGTCATGCAGTCACAGTGAAAAGCAATTCTTTTTCCTTCAAACATTTAAATAACTTGCAACAATTATTTGCCTTGTATTTCACAGCACAAAGTGAACCAAGCACTCATTTTTTTTTTTTTTTTTTGAGGAAGATTACCCCTGAGCTAACTGCCACCAATCCTCCTCTTTTTGCTGAGGAAGACTGGCCCTAAGCTAACATCTGTGCCCATCTTCCTCTACTTTATATGTGGGACGTCTACCACAGCATGGCGTGCCAAGCGGTGCCATGTCCACACCCAGGATCTGAACCGGCCAACCCCGGGCCACTGAAGTAGAATGTGCAAACTTAACTGCTGCACCACTGGGCTGGCCCAGCACTCATTTTTAACCAGTGTACAACACTACAGATTTATCGATTCTACCTCACAGGAAATTAGTCATTGATTTCTTAGGATAAATGAGTTCTGATGAGCTGTGGTGGAGAGCAAAGAAAAGTGAAAATGAGATAAAAAGACCAGTCTCTCACCCCAAGACTTGCTTAGCTTGTCACTCCTAGTAGCGTTAGCAACATCTGGGACTTCATTCATTGCTTGTTTTTGTCTTACCTTTTCGTCTTATTTCTATGGCTTCAGGTTTCTCTAGGGCTGGAAGGTATGAATAAGAACTCAGCAGGAAACAAAGTAGAAGAGTTTGAATCAGGTCTGAAGAGCAATGGAACAGGACCCCACAGAATCCCACAACCTTTCATGAGAGGAGCTCCAGAACCTCGGGAAGAAAGGTTTATCTCACTGTTATATCCAGCCTGAGATCCGGCTCCCCCCAAGCTGATAATAGAAGGCTGCGTGGGTTGGGCTTCCATGGACAACTGCAATCACCTGTGGATTGTGACATATGGGCAATGCCTTCTGGTCCTAAAATATTGCTATTGCAGCCCTTGGCATGCCAGAGTTTGAGAAACATCACTTGGTTATCTTGTTGGTGATCAGAAACTGAATTTCATCTTATAATCCATTCAATATTTCATTTATCCAACAACCAAAATTATTGAAGGCCTGCTATGTATTAAGCGCTGCACTATGTGGTGGAAATAAAGGGTTCTGAATGTGAAGAACGCACCAAATACAGTCTTCCACAAATATATCCTTCCACTTCGTCTTTCCCCATCTCCCAGTTCCATGTGTTTGCTTGAGTAAAGGAAAGGACAGAGATTTTATACGAGCAGGAATGCACAGTGGTTAAAAGCACCATCTCGAAAGTCACCTTGCTTTGGTTCCAATCACATCGCTGACATATTTTAATAAGTAACTTTGGATAAGCTTTATAACTGCTATGTGGTTCCGCTTTTCTGGCTGTAATCGTGGGCTGAGGATAATAACAGTACTCCCCTGAGAAGACTGTAGTGAGGATTTAAGAGGCTAATTTAAATGAATGAAACAGGACAGTGCCTGGCAAATAGTCTGCGTAATATAAATAATACAAATATTCTCATCATCCTCTGAAACTGATCAGGTTTCCCAGATTTCATTTGGAACAAGTTGTCAGTGTGCACACAGCTCTGCTAAAAGATTTTGTTCTGATGTCACTTATTTATAATAGCATTATCAATAATAATGGAGCTTACTTTCCAGAGCTTTAAAAGAACTGGTACAGTACCTCTATGACTCTAAATGGGGTCTTATTAGTGAGCAAATGCAAATTTAGACAGATTATGGTGACAAAGACTCCTTTCTTGACCAAACTTTAGTCAGGCTCCTATGAGCCCTCTCTTCTCTTCCAGGCCTCAACCTTGACCTGCTGAACCCAGTTTTAGCAAAAAAAAAAAATCCTACTAAGCCAGTTTATTGAGTATCCTCCTCAATCTTCATACCAATCAAGCTCTTCTTCCTCCATTCTTGATACATAATCAAGTTCTGCCCACCTTCCCTTAATACCTAAATAAGTTCCTCTTAGTAATTTGCCATCCTCTCCCTCATCCTGTCCACCAGGTATTAATCCCCACCTTTCCCTGTTTGTGTTCAGAGTACAGTTCAATCTCTGTCCCCTATTGCAACAGTCTTGACTCCTATGGCAATAGTCTGAGACTTTATTGCAATGCTCTTAATCCCTATTGCAATAGTCTTCAATAAACTCTTCCTTACCATTTTTTTTTTTTAAAGATTTTATTTTTTCCTTTTTCTCCCCAAAGCCCCCCAGTACATAGTTGTGTATTCTTCGTTGTGGGTTCTTCTAGTTGTGGCATGTGGGACGCTGCCTCAGCGTGGTCTGATGAGCAGTGCCATGTCCGCGCCCAGGATTCGAACCAACGAAACACTGGGCCGCCTGCAACGGAGCGCGCGAACTTAACCACTCGGCCACGGGGCCAGCCCCTCTTCCTTGCCATTTTTGACAAATGTCAGGATACTTTCTCTTTATCAGTGGAAACAATAAAACATCACTATGCTTGAAATATGATTGAGTCTCTACATAGAGCAATGGGAAAAAGTTCAAATGGATTGGAAGAGTTAGTGATACTTGGAGGCAGATTTTCTGACAACAGTAGGTTGATGAAGGTGAAGGGAGGCAGATCGTAAAACAAGCATAGAAAACTTAAAGCACTTCCCTGGACATCATCTGTCATTGTTTTTCCAGTTTAAAATCAAAGTTACTACTTGGTTGACTCGAAAGCAAACTCATTCTCTAACATTGGTCGTAATAACAATACATCAGTTTTGGGAAGATAGCATCATGCTTGACTGCAGGATTAAACAGAGGAAAAAACCGGCCATGAAGTAGACCATTTACCAAGAAACAGAGTGTCTAAGAAAATTTGACGAATTGGAAAGATAAAAAGTAAATCAAATAGATGGGATATTTAAAGTGGTTAAATTTCAGCTCAGCTTGAATATATTTTGAAGAGCAGAAGAAATGAATAAGTAGATATGACATTTGCATTTTTCTAACTAAAATCAGTTGCTTAGTTTTCAAAATATATCAGTCAGTCTCCAGAAATCCTAAGTAGGAGATGGGAAAGAGGTTAAATAGAGGAAATATTGACCAATGGAGGAAAAAATGTGCACTTACAATAGTCATCATAAATTACTTTTTGCTTTCTTAAACAGGGAAATTGCCATTTTCCTGAAGGAAGTACCTGTAAATAGTAAAGAGTCCTTGATTTTAAGTTCAAATGGTAGATTTCTCCATTAGATGAATAGAGAAATACAGCAATTCATTTATGAGGACAAACTCCATCTCCCTTCAGGATTAGTGCAAAGTAAAAATCTTTCCTATGTGCACAAACGAATTTACCCATAGGATTCCTAGTGCTTTCAACATGTGGGAAGAAACCAGTCTAAGCTTTCCACTGTACTCCCAGAAAGGGTTTTGACGCTGCTCTTGTTCTAACTCTGTGTCTGACATCCATTATCAAGGAAAATCTAATATAGAAAGGATACACATGGAGAAAGTGAGGCAAGCTTTCAAAGAAAAACTGCCAAAGTTAGAGTCCATTAAAAACTAACCTTGAGGGGCCAGCCGGGTGGCTGAGTGGTTAAGTTTGCATGCTCCGCTTTGGCGGCCCAGGATTTCAACAGTTCAGATCCAGGGCACAGACATGGCACTGCTCATCGGGCCATGCTGGGGTGGTGTCCCACATGCCACAACTAGAAGGACCCACAACTAAAGATATGCAACCATGTACCAGGGGGGTTTGGGGAGAAAAAGGAAAAAATAAAATCTTAAAAGAAAACCCAAAAGAACAAAAAAAAACTAACCTTGATTGCTTCCAAATCTTGGCTATTGTGAAGAGTGCCCATCAAGGGACGAATGGATAGAGAAGATGTGGTATATATACACAGTGGAATATTACTCAGCCGTAAGAAATGATGAAATCCGGCCATTTGTGACAACATGGATGACCTTGAGGGTATTATGCTGAGTGAAATAAGTCAGAGGGAGAAAGTCAAATGCCGTATGATCTCACCCATAAATAGAAGATAAAAACAACAAACAAACACACAGCAGCGGAGACTGGATTGGTGGTTACCATAGGAGAAGGGGGGATGGGGGAGGGCAAAAGGGGTGATTAGGCTCACATGCGAGGTGATGGACTATAATTAGTTTTTGGGTGGTGAACATGATGTAATCTACACAGAATTCAAAATATATTAAGATGTACATCTGAAAGCTACATAATGTTATAATCCAACGTTACTGCAATAAAAATAATTAACAAATAAACAAATAAATAACTAACCTTGAACGTCAAAGAAAAGCCCTGGTTCTAGCCTCACTCTATTTCTAACTAGCACAGTAGCCTCACTGAGCTTAGCGTGCTCATTTGTAATGTGCAGGGTGGATGACCTCTAAGGACTTCTCTGGCTGTAAAACTCTCTTAATTTGTTATGAGTAATCAGTACCATAATTAAAGATTTGGTCCTACACATTTCAGACTTCCAGGTTTCTAAATCTGGCTTGCGTATTTCTCTTTCTAATTTAATTTTTCAATCCCCCAAAAGGAATCATAAGAAACAGTAAAGCTTTTAGGAAAAAGGGAACCAAATGATGCTATTACATCCCTCCCTGAGGTCTTTCTTTTGAAAATGAAAGAGCTGATATCTGCCCTGCAGAGATAAGCATTTGCAGAAATATTTGTATTTATGCAAATAACCCAATTTCAGTTTTTAAGGATTAAAGTGGTCTAATTTTAATTGTTCATTCTCTTTTTCTTTCTCATCTACTCAGTTGCAAGATACATGTTATCAATTATTATCAAGATTTTCTCATATCCATGGTGTGAGTTAATTTGCATATTACGTGGTACCATTCTAGGTGCTGAGGTATGCAGTGAACTATATAAAGTCTCTGTTCTCATGGAGTATCCTTTCTATCAGAATTGTCCTGTTTAATTATATTAGTAGTTCATAATTGTAGGAAACTGTGAAGAAGAAAATAAATACCACCTATGTTAGAATGTTTGATGTTGTCCCATTTGCCTCAGGCAGTTTTTTCCAAGAAAGATTGTAGGAATTTACAATCCCAACTGTCATATAGTTTTTACTTTACGTAACAAAACCTTCTTTAGACTTTATTATGGGACAGATACTGTTCTAAGTGATTTATAGTATTAATCCATTTAATTTTCATATAAACCCTATGAGGTCAGTAATAATAGTACCTATCTTGGGTATAGAATTCTAAGGTCGCAGGTGTTTATTTTCAGCATTTTAAACATACCATTCAGGCTGGCCCCATGGCCGAGTGGTTAAGTTCTCAGGCTCCGCTGTGGTGGCCCAGGGTTTCACTGGTTCAGATCCTGGGCGTGGACATGGCACTGCTCATCAAGCCACATTGAGGTGGCATCCTACATGCCACAACTAGAAGGACCTGCAACTAAGATATACAACTATGTACCAGGGGGGATTTGGGGAGATAAAGCATAAAAAAAAAGGTTGGCCACAGTTGTTAGCTCAGGTGCCAATCTTAAAAAAAATAAAGAAAGAAAAAATAAAGATACCATTCCATTGCTTCTGACTTTCATTGTTTCTGAGAAGTCAGTCATTATTCTTTCTGCAGTTTTCCTGAATGTAACTTTTTCCCCCTCCCAGCTGCTTTTAAGATTTTTTTCTTTATCTTTGTCTTACAGCAATTTTCTAGGTGCCTTTTTTTTTTTTTTGGTATTCATCCTTCTCAGGGATCTGGAAACAGGTGAGGGCTGGACACAAATTTTGGGATCCTCTGCCTATGGAATAGAAAGTAAATGAATAACTTTGCCAAGTGACAGTGCAAGAAGGC